AGAAGTCCAGTTGCCATGACTCAACCTCCAGATAATTCCACCTGGATGACTCAGAATCTTCCTCAACATAGCTGATGGAGCATAGGAATGTAAGAACTGTCCTTTATATAGTATTTATTATTTGCCTCTCATTCATTCCGGGCCCAAGATTTGTTTAGAAACCCTTAAGTTATTTTTAGTGAAATAAATTTCAGAATCTCTTTTTAGTATACAAAGAACTTGAGAAACATCTCTGACCTGATCTTACAACAGCTACCTAGATATCCTTTGGACATTTAAAATAAGGGTATTATCATGATTGCCTGCAAGATATTCAGGCAATCTTTATTCAGAGGTAGAAGGCTGTAAAAGATGTTCTGGTTTTAGTCACTATGATAAATAATCATAGAAAGATAATTTTTTCATAAATGTGTCAACCCTTAAAAACCTATTTGTGGTAAAGAATAAAAGACTATCATTGCATGATGCTGAAATTAATTCCCAGTATTAAATATTTCCTTTGACATCCACCAAACCTACTGCCAAAACATTATTACTGGATACCTTCAAAACTACAATATTTTAAGATAATGCAGTTTCTCATTCATTCATACAGATTTCCAATTTATCACTAGATACTAGTAGGGTAGAAATAATAATTAGTTGCCCAAAGCAATACAGAGAAGAATATTTGCTAATGCGATATTATGGGCTAACATTGCTAAATATGGAAGAATGCAGTACGGTATAAATATTCATGTCCTTTGCTTCATCTGAGCATCCTTTCAAGCTTTTGTCAGTTTCTTGTATTCATTTGCTGCTAGTCATCCAAATCCCAGCTGCAAGAGATGCAGAAGGTCATCCTACTACGCAGATCATGTCAAACCAGACATTCAAATATTTATCCCAAATGAGATCCTGGAATATTTAGCTCCAGGACAGTGGACCTGTGGAGGACAGGGTTTCCGAGATGGTATAATTAAGCCTGCCCTTTTTGGTGATTTAGGCGACCAGCTTTGGGCTGCAAAAACCTGAACAACTGGTAGATGGCAGCAAAATGACACAGAAAACTCTTGTTGCTGCCATCTAATGCTTGCCTGGATTTTGCAGCCCAGATCTGGTAGCTTTGGTGCTTTACTGTAAGATGCCTTGAGTTTTGTTAAGATAAAAATAACTAAAACAACTAATGGAAATATATTACCACTGCTGCTAGAGACCCAAAATCCATTGTGATAGAACCAGTCCCTCTTCAGACTCAGATTCTACAACCTATGCAAGACTGTTTGGCTTTTTTTTAGATATCACAGTTCATGCTCTTCTAATAGTCATAGCAGATGCAGAGAATGACATATGCTAGCTGAAAATTATGAGAGTTGAAGTCCAACACCTCTGGAGAATACTTGATGGGAAAACAGAGTACCAGAAAAGACCCACATATGAGCTATTGTTAATAGCTTTTAAAGGTTATTTTGAGACCACTGAAAAGTTTTCTTAATTAAGGAATGTCCATTTAGAGTGAGGTCTACAAAGGAATAACTCAATACAGTTAACCTAACTGTTCCAAGTAAGCATGCTTAGAACAGTTTGGTTAACTATACTCTGTATACTATACTATACTTTGGTTACTCCTCTGTAGTAAAGGCAATTACCCGTGTGTGCAAGGATGTATGATAAAATGATTGCCTGACTGAACTTAATGATGTAGGCCATTTAAGAAATTCTCCTTGTGTAAAAGTGCATAACAGACAAAATAAGTAACTGAAAAACCCTGAAATCTTTTGTAACATTAATGTCCATTACAAAAAAACCCAAACCTTAATATGAACCCTACAGATGATGTAAGAGCACACACAGGATCTGACATACTATGTGTGTGTAGTTGGGTTTGTTCAGACTCATTTTGAGCTTATCAGTACCAAAGAAATATGGATTTTATGCCAGACAGAATGAGTAACCTTGAATGCACAAGGCTCTGTTCACAGAACACAATCAGTAAGTGGAATTTAGACAAGAAGGCAGAATTCAATTTGCTGCACATGCCTTGTTCACAATTCAGTGTAAAACCAAAGTTAGATTGTGACACATCAACTTTTCACTCTAATTTCCTGGTGTCATATTTATTTATCAGGAGACAATTTGGGGAGACAATATTAATTTATTAAGTTTTTTTTTCTCCTATTTTTCTTATAATAAATCTTGTAAAATCACATTAGTTATTGAGCAGGGGCTATAACGAACAAGCTTTGTTTCTTAGAGGCCTTTGAATAATGAGAAAATCCTTGTAGTTTCAAAGCGTCTTTACCCCATCACCATTTGAGCTGGTAAAATAAATACCTCAATAGCATTTTTGTGCACACACATACCACCATAAACAGTCCCACAAACCGATCTCATTTCTAAATCCTATCACTCTTCCATGTACCTGAAGTTCTGTCACACTAAAGGAAAATGAATTGCCCAGAAAAAATCATTAACATTTGTTTTCTCCACCCACTCTTCCCATCTGTACAAATATACAAGGTAAGTATATTAATGCATTGGTTCTTCCAACACAGACAGGATGCAGATACTATACTAAATGGAAGCTTTCACTCCAGATGCAAAATTAGTCATTCTTAATTGGATTTCCAAGTGGTAATTGGTTTCCACTGTCTGGTCTCTCTCATTAGATCCTTAGTTTTTTAAGCAAAGCATCATATATGCATAGTTCAGAAAAGAGAAACATTGTTAGTTTTATGAAGACCAAAAAAAAAGTGTTTATTTCATGCAATGCTAGCAGGCAAGCCTGTTCTCTTTTGCCAAATGGCTCCATCAATTAAAAATACACACTTAAATATAGTGCCTTCCCAAACATCCCCCAATTCATCCTAGGGAAGCCAGGAAAGAAAGAAAAAGATCTATTAGAAAATAGATCTTTTCTGGCCTTTTAGCTTCCAGAAATAGATTGACCCCAACTGTATCTAGCCATACAACGTTGCTTTGATAAAAACAGCAGGGCCCCTCTTCAGGCAGATCAACAATTTAAACTATAGCCATACAGCTGGTACAGCAAACTGACTAAAAGACTGAGGTACAAATCTAATTCAGGGTAATGTTCCATGCATTATCAGCTAAAATTACCTTTGGTCCACAGGAGTATGAGCCATAATCAATGTTAAATCTTAAAATGACACAGCTTATTTTTGCTGCAAGAGTTACCCTTTTGGTGGTCTATTTTTAATGCATATATTTACACACACACGGCATTTACTAATGCCACAAAACAGCCTCCCAAATCTATTGCCTCAGATGTGTTAGATTCCACCTCTCTTAATCTCCAACCTCTTTTCTAAAACCTTGCCATAAAATGTAGTTATAAATCTTTGATTACTCTTAAGGAAACATAAACAGTCATGAACATGTGATTAAATATCACACTTATTTTATTTTGCTCTGCTTCACAGTTCACTTTTATTCCCTCTCTTACACTTCCTTCTTTAGAGGCTCAAAACTATATAAATGCCACTGAACAGGTACAGATTAAATCCTTTTATTCCTTTCCTAGGAAGACTGGTACAGAGGGCCATGTAAAGGGAAACATGAATCACTTTCACTTCCATATTATAAATTTGTAGCAGGACTCATCACTCCTTCAAAAAGGGAACTTCTATACAAAAGGAACCTCTGAACGTAAACAGTTTTAAAAACCCACCCACCAGTAACTGGGTTTTCTTCAAAGGCTACCACTCCCCTCCATAGAACAATCAGTCGCACCCTTATGGAGGAGCCATAGTTAACTAGGCACATTTGCGACCACTATTTAATCTAAGGAGATGAATGCCATCTTTATGATCTGAATATAGAAACATCCTAGTACTAGGAAACCGGGCATTAAGAGGTGGGCGAGGGGAGAAGCGATCAAGACCAAAAGGGGTGGGGAAGGAAGCATTTGACAAACGCTACAGACCGCCTTTATGTTTTTTCTAAGGCAAACACACAAACCTCCAATTACGGTTTTCGCATCACTTCCTCCCGCCCCCGCCCTCAAACCCTGGCTCCTTGCTCCCCTGTTAAATTGTACCCTATTAGGGGCTACAACTGACTATGACATATTTCGAAAACCCCTCCTTGCGCGTTTATTTTGGGGCCAGAGGCGCCTTTTCGTTCGGAAGAGGCGAGAAAGGCGTCCCAGCTGATTCTTGCCTTCAGAGAGACAGCGACAAACAGCAGGCTGTTCATCACCAGGAGACGTGCACAAGCGCGCGCACACACAAATCGGAGAAAAAAAATCCAACGCCTTCCTTCACGCACATCCGAAATCACACTCGGCTGTCACCCAGCACGCGGAATTGCGCGTCCCAGCGCAGCGCTAATGAATACGAGTCCCACGCCTTCAGCTCCAGCACCTCTTCGGGTCTTCTCAGCGTGGCTCCTTTTCGCCTTTTTCAGCTCCCGGTGCTCCTCCTAAAGCTGGCTAGCTGCAATCCTCAAACCATCCTTGCTCCCTCCCAGAGAAACGATCAATTACCTTCGGGCGAGCGGCGGGCCTCTCCCAAAACGCCTTACCTCAAGGGCGCGCCCTTG